TTTTTTTTCTCGTAGTTGTGGTTGCGGCGGACAACGTCGTGGAGGCGGGGGTCATCGATGTCAATCCGGAGGCTCTCAACGTTTCGTGCGTCGATCATCTCCTCGTCGGCCAGGTTCGCACACGCTCGCACGCGAGAGAATTTTTTCACGAGATCGGTTGAAAGGGGAAACGCGTGGGGTCAGGTCGGGGTCCGGCTGGGGTGGCTGGTGCGGGAGAAACTCGGGGAGCTGTGCGGGAACTCCCTGGAATGCGACGTTGCGGTCACCAGCTCCTCCTGCCAGACGCTGCGGGGTCGGTTGCAGGAGGAGACCAACGAAGTCCTCAAGAGGAGGAAGAGGTCGGTTCGAATACTCAAACATTCAAATATAGAGGTCGGTTCTGCTTCAAATAAGCAACTGAAATGGTTCACGTCTAATTTTTTTTTACAGAGAGGAGAGCTCAGCACTCGATTTATCGGATTGGGGTCCTCTCGGGAACGACAGCATTCGATATCGATTTCAAATGACGGGTGAGATGCGAAAACGAACGAAATTCAATGCAGAAATGGAATGTCGAATCGCTTGCGTCGATCAGGGAGGAAGCGACGGGCGATGCCGGAGGATGAATTCCAGCGGGAGGTGGCGCGGGTGAAGGCGTCGCTGAAGGAGGCGGCGGGGCAGCGCGAGTTGGATCTGGTGCTCGGGGGGAATGTGCTGGAGACGAGGAGGGTCCTGTTTGTGGCGGGGGAGGAGGGCTTCCTGTGTCCGAGGGGGGCGGTGGCGGTGGAGCGGTCGTGCCGTGAGTCGTCGTGGTCGTCTTGGGGGTCTGGTGGGTCGGGGTGGGGTGTAGCGTTTGTGCGGTTTCTGTAGTGGAATGTGCGGTGGGTTCGTTCTTCAACGTGACGGGGTCGGTTTGCGAGCCGTGTCCGAAGGGGTATTTCCAGCCCGCCACGGGGAAACTCTCGTGCCAGAAGTGCCCCGAGGATCTCTCGGAGGATCTTTCGGCCTGGAAGTACTGCAAAGGTCAGTGTCGGTCCTGCCTCGGTGACGAAAGCGTCGAGACGACGTAAAGGACGCTCATCTTCTTTCAGACTTGTGTCTGCCGGGGCATTTCTCCGCGGACGGATTGGAGCCTTGCGAGACCTGTCCCCGTGGAACGTATCAGGATCGCTACGGGAGCGAAGACTGCTCCTCCTGTCCCGGGAACGCGACGACGTGGAGGCGAGGCGCTCGTTCGTCGCACGAATGCGGAGGTCGGAAGACGTCTCGCCGCGTCTCGTCGCGTCTCGCCGGGAGGTCTTCACGGTCGCTTTTGGATGTCGTTGCAGAGGGATGTCCGCCGGGGTGGGTGTCCTCCACGGGTCTCTCGCCTTGCGACCCGTGTCCGAGGGGTTCTTTCCAGTCGGGGTTCCTGGAGACGGCGTGCGTGGTGTGTCCTGGGAACGCCGGCACTGCCGCGACGGGCGCTTCGTCTTACTACGATTGCCTGCTGGAGCACTCCCGATCGGCCGTCTCTCTCGTCTGTATATAACGTATCGCGGAATCGCGTCGTTCGGACGAGAACCGATGATCGATCGTATGCGTCATATAGGAGGAGCTGAAGAGTTTCGGGACTTTGGAGTACAACGAGTGCTTCCGCGATCCCTGCAAAAACGGCGGGACGTGCGAAGCCCTCGAGACGGGTTTCACGTGCCACTGCGATCCGTCGCATTCGGGCCCTCGTTGCGAGGACCCCTGGGATCCCTGCACCTCTTTCCCCTGTCTCAACGGGGGCACGTGTGCCCGCGATGGGGCCCGCGGGTTCCGATGCGTCTGCCCGGATTCGTTCGCCGGTTCGGAATGCGAGGTCTGCCTTTTCCAATAGTATTCTTGCAACAAAATGCGAATTCGACTCTGAATGCAGTTCATCCTCCAGTATCGTAGACCTAATTACAATATTCGACTTTCGGTATTCGATGCTATTCATTACATACTTCCCATTTTTCCTGACAATATTTACTCGTGGGAATGCATAGAGCAATTGTCATCTATGACTGAGTTTGTCATCACCTGGTGATCTCGTGCTACAGACAGAAGTCGATGCATGCGCCGAGGAGCCTTGCCTCAATGGAGGAACCTGCGTCTCCGAGGGACTTTTCTATACCTGCCTCTGCCCTCGTGGATACTCAGGTTTTTGCCATTCCCCCCCCCTGAAATAAATATCGGGAAGCCAACAATGTCATTCGAAGTCAACAACGACTCGGTTTCCATCAGGACCGGAGTGCAAGAACGCGGTCGATCACTGCGCGTCGAATCCGTGCTCGAACGAGGGGACGTGCATCGCTCATGAGGTCGGCGAACGGTTTGGTATCTCGGTTCTTCGGCGTCGATTTCGTTCGATTCTGGAACGTTCGATCCTCAGGAAGACGATGGGTTTCGCTGTGCCTGTCGGGAGGGATTCTCGGGAGCGACCTGCGAGGACGACATCGACGATTGCCTCGGGTTTCCGTGCCTCAACGGAGGAACGTGTCACGACGCCCTCGACGGATATCGGTCTCCCTTTCGCACATTTTCGTCGCATTCGTGAGGCAATGAATGTGGCAATGAACGAGGCAATGAATGAGGCAATTTCGCAGGTGTGCATGCAGTCCGGGATACGCGGGAGAGAACTGCGAGGTGGACGTCGACGAGTGCTCGTCCGATCCGTGCTCCGTCGGTTCCACGTGCCTGGATCTCGCGTCCGGATTTCAGTGTCTCTGTCAGACCGGCTTCGCCGGACCCAAATGCGATCAACGTGAGCCTGCGCCCTTCGTCGACGACTGCGACGGCCTCGCAGAGGACTCACGATCGTTTCCGTCCAGGTCTTCCCGAGAACTTCGTGCTGAAGTTCGACGGCGGCGGCTGGGTGGAGATGGGGACGTTCCCTCGAGACCTCGCCGAGATCTCGGCCTGTTTCTGGATGAGGACCGAGGACACCGTTCGTTACGGGACTCCGTTTTCCTACGCCACGGCGGCGTTCCACAACGCCTTCACGCTTTCGGACTACACCGGGTATCCGCGAGTTCCTCGCTTCGAAGGGCATGTAAACGCCACAGAAAATGACCTCTTTTTTGTTGCAGCTTGACCTTGTACGTGAACGACCGAAAGGCGGTTTCAGACGTGAAGGTCAACGACGGGAAGTGGCATTTGGTGTGCGTGAGTTGGACCAGTTCGGGGGGTCACTGGCACATTTATGTCGATGGAAATTCGGCAGCGACGGGGAAAGGCCTGGCAGACGGCTCTCGAGTACCTGGTAATCCCATTTTCCCTCCTGCGCGATCGGAATGCACGCGAAGATGCTGCGCGATTTCTGTCGGAATTTCTCGGAATGCGATCGGGCTCGGTCCGGAATGCTGAAGTTAGTTAACGGTTTTCGTAAGACTCCATGAGGGGAAAAGAACCCTTGATCTCACATGAATGACGTTTTAGTATTCGGACATCACTCGTGAAACTTTAAAATGACTCGTAGAATACGTCTACCCTGTAAAACGTCGGTCTGATTTTTCACATGGAATACGGGATCGTCGATCCCGAGACGAGCCCGGCTTCTACGACCCGACTGAGTCACCTCGGACGCGATCGGAATTTCTATATCCTAGGAAGAGGATCCCTGATACTGGGTCAGGAACAGGACTCCGTCGGCGGATCCTTCAGCGCGACCGAGGAGCTGATCGGGGAACTCACCTGGGTCCAGTTCTTCCCCTTCGCGCTCGGCGAGGACGAGGCGAGGTCCATGCCGGTCGCCTGCGGGCCCGTCGAAGGTCACGTGGTCGCGTGGTCATCTGCCGCTCTCGGTCTCAGGGGGGAGATCACTGTAAAGGCACAAGTTTCGCTCGTGGATCACTGGTGAAGGGAGGTTTTACGAGTGTCGCTTTCGTTAGATCGTGGAATCGGCGTTCTGCGAGGGGTGTCCGTGGCCGGCCGTGCCGACGAATGGCAACTACAGCAGTGGGGATTTCTCGCTCGCCCTGGGGGGGACCGGCTCGGTCCTCGCGTATTCCTGCCGCGATGGATTCCGGTTGAAAGGGGCTTCGACGAGGATTTGTCTCGCGGATGGGACTTGGTCTCTGACCGATCCCGAGTGTGCGGGTGAGCGTGCTTATTTTCTGTCTCCGAACGAGAATGATGTGAAATGGAATTGATGGCGAGTGTGGTTCGAAGGGGAACACTGTTCCTTTCCGGGATATCTTCCGAATGGGACCGTGTCGGAGACGAGACTCTCGTACGCCTTCGAGGACACCATTCAGTATTCCTGTCACACCGGTTTCGCCCTGATAGGAAATAATCAACGACGATGCCTGGAAAACGGATCGTGGAACGGCGAGCCTCCATTATGCAAAAGTAATTCAAAATTCACGTTTCACAGAAGAGACTAAGAGCGTTTCGAAGCATCCAATTTCCTCCCATTTTGTAGAGATTCAGTGCCTCAAAGACTGGACGTCGAAGTCCGGAAAGGCGACCCCATCGCGAGACGCATACGACGTGGGAACGAGCGTGGACTTCCGATGCGACCCCGGCCACGTCGCTGAAGGAGCGTCGACGATCGCCTGCCTCGAGGACGGGACCTGGGACGACCTGGCGCCGACCTGCCAGCCGACGCGTTGCACCGCGCCTCCGATGTGGGGACCCGCGAGGGATCGCGGAAAGGAGATGTTGGGCCGCGAGAATAAAAAATCGTCTCATAATCACGGATCCGGTTTTGATGAAACGAAACTAAAACTGTCTCGACTCGTGGCACAACTTCTCCTTTCTGTGAATCTGGGCGACCGAATCCTTCGACCGACAGGCTTTGGCAAACGAGAGAGAACATAATCCGTGGATCGTTTCAGAGTGCCGCATGGCTTCCCGGTCGACTTCGGGCCGATGACCCCCGGCGACGACCTCAAGTTCTCGTGCGAAACCGGCTACCGGATCCAGGACGTGGACCGCATCCGCTGCGGTCAGAACGGGCGATGGACCGGGGAATATCCGAAGTGCGAGCCCGTGGCCTGCCCGGAGCCGCCGCGGGTGCCGAACGCGGAATACGAAGTCGGAGACCAGAATTACGGGGGGACGGTCGTTTACGCCTGCGGGGAGGGATTTTCGCCTTCTGGGAGGACCGTGCTTCGATGCGAGGCGGATGCGAGGTGGGAGGACGTGGATCTCTATTGCAGGCCTGTCGAATGCGGGTCGCTTCAGGGTCCAGAGGGAGGACGCGTGACGTCGACGGGTGATTCTTTGGGGGACGTTGCTTCTTATTCGTGCGACCTGGATCTGCTTCTGCGTGGGGATGCTCAAAGAACTTGCCAAAAGAATGGGAACTGGAGCGGATCGACGCCCAGGTGCATCAGGCCTTCGTGCGTCGCCGGTCCCGCGATCGAAAACGCGGTTCGGTCGTCCGAGGGGCCGTGGGAAGCGGGGGAGACGGTGAAGACGAATTGTCTCCCGGGTTTCGGCCTGTTGGGGGACGAGACGCTGAAATGCGAGGAAAAGGGGCGGTGGGGCGGGGAGATCCCGCTCTGCGTTCCCTTGAGGTGCCCGGCGCCGGAGGGCGTCCAGCGCGGGAAATATCAGGTCGTCGTGGAACCGGGCTCGGCGGATCGGTTCGTGGCTTTCGCTCGGGCCCTGGAGAAGATCCAGCGGAATTCGTCCAGATGGAGCGGGATGAAGACGTTCAAGTACGGGGACTTGGACCTGGAGCTTCAAGTGAGCGGGGAGACGAAGGAATTCTCCGTCAACAGGACCGTCGGTTCCTTGAAGAGCGGGAAAACTTTCTTCCACGGCTCGAAGGTGGAATATTCCTGCGAACCCGGATACGAACTGCGCGGAAACCGACTCCGAAAATGCACCGAAAACCAAACCTGGGACGGCGAAGTCCCGAGATGCGTGAAGCTCAAGTGTCCCCCGATCGGAAACATACAACACGGCCTGGCCGTTTTGGACCCCGAATCCGATCGGGTGCATTATCGGTGCGACGAAGGCTATCGGCTGGTCGGGGACGACTCGAAGACGTGCTCCGAAGCCGACCGGAAGCCCTCTTGCCGAAGAAACACCTGTTCCCGTCCGGGAGAGATTCCCCACGGGAAGATGAACGTTTCGGGCCTCGAAGTCGGGTCGACGGTCACGTACGAATGCAACGCCGGCTACACGCTGACGGGTACGGCGAGGCGAACGTGTGGCTCGACGGGGGCCTGGGACGGGATCCAACCCGTCTGCAGTCTCGGCACCTGTTCCATACCGGAAATTATCGACAATGGGCTCATCGCGTTCAGCGGGAGTCTCAACGTGGGGTCCGTCATCGAATACGACTGCGAAGAGGGCTACGAACTGGTCGGGGTCCAGGTTCGGACCTGTAAGGCCGATGGCAGCTGGACGGATCGGCAACCCAGTTGCAACCTCATCTATTGCCCGCCTGTGCCTGCCATGATTCCGAACGGCTTCAGCATCGGGTCGGACTTCTCGTTTGCTTCTATCGTCCAGTTTCAATGCGATTCGGGGTACGAGGTGAAGGGATCGGACATGATCAAATGCACGGGATCCAAACGATGGTCGGACGAGATTCCCGAGTGTCGACGGGTCAGATGTCGACACCCGGGCAAACTACCGAACGGGAAACTGACGGAAGGCGTATTCTATTTCGAAGACCTTGCGACGTACCGATGCGACCCGGGATACGAAACGGTCGGGAAAGCCCAGCGACAGTGTCAAGCGGACCGCTCTTGGTCGGGGAAGGTGCCCCAATGCGTTCCGAGGAGATGCCCGCCTCTGCCTCCTCTCAACAACGGGAATGTGACTTACGTCCAAGCCAGTCCGGCGGTCCCTCTCGTGTTCGGGTCTCGGGCGCGTCTCGGGTGCGAGGAAGGCCATCGGCTGATCGGGGACGGGGAGCGGGTGTGCGGGGAGGACGGGCGGTGGGAGGGGGACGAGCCGATCTGCAGTCTCGTGGTCTGTCCGCCTTTGGAGGGATCCGACGTTCTGCTCATCGATGATGTTCGAAGTCGCACTGTGGGAACGGAAGTCGCGTTTCGTTGCGAGCCGGGCTACACCACCGATGAAAAGACTTTGGCGATTTGTAATTCTTCCGGTAGTTGGTCCATCAGCCCGCCGAAGTGCGTGCGAAAATCGTGCCAGAAGCTCGAGGCACCTGTCAACGGTTCCATGGTCGGAGATGCGTTTGAATACGGCGGAGAAGTGGGATTCACATGCGATGAAGGGTTTGAACTCTTGGGCGAATCCAGACTGATCTGCAACGAGAATGCGGTGTGGAACGCAGCCGTGCCGATCTGCAAAATCATTTCGTGCCCTGCACCGCCGTCGATAACGAATGGGATCATCGAAGCCCTCGAGTCTTCGATTCGATACGGTTGCGATCCGGGATTCTTCCTCGTCGGCGATGCGACCATCAGGTGTGAGAAGGGAAAATGGGCTCCCGCGCCTCCGTCGTGCGAAATCGTTCAATGTCCGCCGCCTCCGAAGGTCCGGGACGCCAATCAGATCGGCTCTAAATACACGTTTGGGCAGACGGTGAAATACGAATGTGTCCGAGGGAATCGCCTCGAGGGGCCATCGAGCTTGAAATGCTCCGAGAGGGGGGAATGGACTCCAGAGCCTCCGGTTTGCAGTCCGATCACATGTTCGAAGCCGGTAAGCATTGCTCATGGAGATTGGGAATCGATCACGTCGACGACCACGAATGTGATTCCGTACCCGGAGTTCGGCTACGGACACGAGATTCGATATAGGTGTGAGAGGGGTTACAACACTACCGACGAAGCGACCGTGAATTGCACGGATCAGGGCTGGTCGAGTCCGCCTCCAACGTGTCACCTCATCACCTGCCAGCCCTTGAGGAAGCCGGAAAACGCATACCTCAGTTCCGAAGACGGTGCGTTCGGTTCCGAGGTGGAATACGGCTGCGAGGCGGGGCATCGACTCGTGGGAGTCAAGAGGAGACGCTGCGACGAGACTGGTCTCTGGTCGGGAGAGGAACCGGCTTGTCGGCCCGTCGAATGTCCGCCGTTGTCGCCGATCTCGGAGGGATTCGTCGATGCCACTGGCTTTGCGTATGGAGATACGGTGAGCTATCGATGCAGGGAGACCCACGCGTTGGTGGGGAGCATGACGAGACGATGCGTGGAAAATGGGGATTGGTCCGGAGCCCCACCCGTCTGTCAGGAGATCAACTGTCCCTGGCCGCAGGGAATCCAAAATGGCGTGACGGATGTCAATTCCACTCTCGTGGGACAGATCGCTCGCTACGCATGCGATCGGGGATATGAGCTGCTGGGATCGAGAACTTCGACGTGCCTGAGCAACAGAACGTGGAGTGGGAAAGAGCCGAGTTGTGAGGCAATCTCTTGTGTTTCACCAAGTCCTCCTTCGCATGGGAACGTCAAGGCGAAATCCCTTCGCTTCGGATCCAGTGCAGAATACGTATGCGACGAGGATCATACTTTGCAAGGCGACAAGATTCGCATCTGCCAACACGATGGGACGTGGAGTGGTGATGAACCTCACTGCATCCCCATCGTATGCCCAATTCCATCAGATGTAAAAGATGGAGGATGGGACAGCAGCTCTTACTTCTCTGGGAGCTATGCTACGCTGAATTGCGAAAGAGGATACGAGCCGAGGGATGGGAAGCAGAGGATAAAATGTTCGAAAGGTGAATGGGAAAAGGACATACCAAGTTGCACGAAGAAGAAATGTGGGAAACCGCAGGATATACCCAACGGATTCTACAATGGAACATCGTGGCTGTTTGGAGACTACATTCAGTACGCCTGTCAGGAGGGACATGTGCTCAAGGTGAGTTGTTCCTATTCAGAATGGATCTGGTATTGATCACTGTACGGTAGCTTTTTCTTCAAGCAAACCTATTGCGATGTTCAGGTTTCAATACGTGTCTTTTTAAATGTACGATTCTATTTTATAATTACATGTTTCGGAACTGATAAGAAAAACCTCATGAAAAACTCATACCCTAATATGCTGGATCTAGGAGCCAAAATTTTTTAAAAAAAAAAGGATTCAAAATTCTAAAAAGGTATGAAATTTGTCCCATGGAGTTCAACGACCGACATGTCTGTCTCCCAAAAGGGCGAGGAGTGGATGAGATGCACAGAGAGCGGATGGGAACCCAAGCAAGATATCCAATGCGAACCTGTGGAATGCCCCGTCATTCCCAGCTACCCACACGCCACGAAGGCTTCTAATCTCCCCGGAACGGGAGGTTCCCTTACATCCTACGGATCCATCGTTCAATATGCATGTGAGAAGGGCTACGAGAACCAAGAGGCAGGGGTGATCGTGTGTGGACCCGATGGCAAATGGCTTGGGAAGGGAGCGGAATGTCGGATCCCAGATTGTGGACCGCCTCCGGATGTCCCTCACGCGAGGAAGGAGCAGGATCCCGCCAAATTCGTCGTCAGATATTCCTGCGAGAAGGGATATTCTCTCCTCGGAAAGTCCGAAGTCTTGTGCCGGGATGGACAGTGGGAACCTGCCTCGTAAGGGATCGTCCTCAAAGTGATCGAGTATCTATATGAGGCCAAATTTGATCTTTTATTCCTCACCACAGGACCGTTTGCCAACCGGTGTCATGTGGGATGCCTCCGACGGTACTCAATGGTCGATATCTCGTAACCAGTTCTTCGTATGGATCGAAGGCGATTCTCGCCTGCATCAAAGGATATAAAACCGCTGAGGATACCCATTCCTTGACCTGTGGGGCTTCTGAAAGCTGGGAGATCAACGACTCGAATGACGTACACCCACAATGCCTTCCGGTCGAATGTCCACGCCTCGACGTGTGTTTCTTTTCAAAATTTCGTCTCTTTGTTGATAGTAGTTTCCATATTAAGTGCTATCCTTTTTTTTTGCCTGCAGACCCCGGCCCACGGAAAGGTTTCATGGAACAACTTGACATTCGGAGGGGAAGCTATCTTTTCGTGTGAACCAGGATTCCAGGTGTTTGGAGAATCAGAGGCTTTTTGCGACCATGATGGGAAATGGAATCATCCTCCCCCAACATGTTCCAGTTAGTTGAAGTCATCCGATCAGGCCTGAGGGAAAAAAAAGGAATTAATAAATCGCATCTTCTCTTTTTCGCAAGGGAAGCGATGCCCAGAACTTCGGAGACCGGATCACAGCTACGTCATCTCGACCGGCCAACAATTCGGAGACGAAGTCCAGTTCGAATGCGACGCCGGATACAGGTTAGAAGGCAGGGGTTCCTTAACCTGCACCGAGCATGGGACGTGGGATGGACCTCAACCTCGATGCGTCGGTAAGAGAATCGAAAATTTTCCTTATGCATCTTTGGATGAGAATTCGATGGGGTTAGGAGAAATTCTGTCGGCAGAGGCAAGCGGGTGTGCAGTGCCTCGGGACCAAGAGCTCCCGGCCCTTGTCGTGCCGCTCACGGCAAAGGGCGCGGCCTACCAAGCGGGCGAGTCCCTGGTTCTTCAATGCCAGCAGGGATATTTTGCTCGAGGGGATCTCAGCATGCACTGTACCTCGGCAGGGACGTGGACTCTACCTCGGGGAACATGTCAGAGTAAGTACAGCCATGGGTAGCGAGATCTGGAAAACTCAGATTGTACAGAGCCGGTCGATGTGGGAATCCGCAGGGAACTGTGGACTGCCAATACAAAGAGGAGGAGCCAGGATCATCGGCGTTTATTTTCTGCCCAATCATCGGGTGGCCTATTCTTGTCCCCAAGGTCAGTGCGATCCGAAATCCCGTGGAATGATACCCACGAAATCGTAGCTTAAACTGATCTGATTTCTATGAGTTGGCTTAATTACCCTTCCCCTTAATTCCTATAGATGCATATCATGAAATCTTATCGGATAAAACCACTGTTACCAGAGATGGTGCTCTCACCCCTAGGAGTGTGAACACGATTCAGTGAATCAAACTTGCTTTGCACGAATAATTATCTTTCCAGGAAGGAGACCAAAAGGGAATCCGATTCTCACATGTGGTGACGATGGGGAATGGGATGGTCTGGCCGAGTGCGAATCGCTCTGCTCTCAGGGCTGCCAGCATGGGACTTGTGTCAGCTACGCTAGGTGCATTTGCAAACCTGGCTATCACGGAAAAGCATGCGACAAACGTAAGAATACGAAACTCCATCTCTTCTTAACTCCACCTGACATAACTCAGGGTACTGTGGTGCACACGTGTATCCACCCTGCATTTAAATGGCGGATGAACTTAGTACATTTAGAGAGGGAGTCATTCTAATTATTATTATATTGTTTAAACTGATCAGTCATCTTCATTAGGGCTGCCAAGTCAGACTCGTCGTCTGGCTCACACATAGTCATGTGGTGTGCAAAATTATGACGGTGAGACATGAAATTCAAATATGTATCGTGAGTCAATGATCAACCCAAAAACCACAAGAAAAATAAGAAAGTGTTTTGACGTGTTCCCTTCTGCATGCCTCGCCAATCAGTAGCCGCTTTTGCTTCCTAATTCATTCACTTCGATTCGTTGAAGCTCCCAAGTCCCAGACCTCTCAAGGGCCTAGGGGCATCCAACAGTTCTTTTCAAAGTTCTGAGGTCTGTCTTCACTAATGGAACAGGACAGCTATTGCTTAACAGGAGATAAACCATTAAATCATATCCCTTGTTCTCATCTCAACCTCATTTTCAGAGAATTTCGTAGCCCAAGTAAGGAAACAACTCAAAATGGAAAATGGAGACGGATTAGCTACTTGTCTTTCACTCTCTCATTAATGAGCGTGGGAATGTGGACAGGAGCTCTGTTTCTCCTAGAGAGACGTGTGATAGTGCTGACTAAATGAAGGTCTCGAATGGATGCGAATCGACTGTCTTTCTCCTCAGTTCATTTTATTGTGCATTAGCATCGCTAGCCAGCCGTTCCTCGACCTTCGGTCTCGCAGATCTAATTTCCCGCTTCAACGTCTGCGTGATGGTCCTATATTCCTCATAGTCCGTGCTATCTCCCGTGCGCTTGTACGCATCCCATTTCTGCTTTTTATCCCTGATGAGAGCTTTGATTTTACTCGTAAACCAGACCGATTGCATGCTCGATTTTAGGGATTTCTTGGGGATGCATTCCTCCATAAAGCCCTGCAATAACGTCTTGAACGCCCTCCACTGCTCCTCTACCGTCAGCCCACGGATCCGCGCCTCCCAGTCGAAGCCTGAAACGCATGTATTCTCATTCAAGCAGTTCTATCAACTGATAAGGGTAGTGTGTTTGTTACCTGCCAAAATGACGTCACGACCTTGAAATGAAACCCTAAAACAACCCCGGTGGAACGATTGCAGTCCGCTATGAAGCTCCAAAATGGCCTGCATCTCTTTACGGTCGGGTTAATTGTTTTTGAAAACATCATCCTGTCAGCGAACTCAGTTGCTAAAAGGATTAATGAAATTACCTGCAATTTTGCCGAAACAATTGACTCAGCTTCCACGCGATTTCAAGGCCTACTCTTTGCCCATTGACGAAAGTATCGATGTGACAGATGTGGCTCAGTGCGCTAATATTGTAAGAGAAGTGGATAATCAGCTAAAGGTGACTGAAGAATTGCTGGATTTGGTGCCAATGAAGGGAACCACCACTTGCGCAGATATTATGGGTAAGCTTAAAGCAACTGTAGAAAAGGCTGGCCGAAAATGAGAGAAACTAGTGTGTCTGGTAACCGATGGTGCTCCTTCCACGGTTGAAGAAAGGAGAGGTGTTATCGAGCGACTGAGACAAAAGTTGGAAGAATTGGGAGTGCCAACACAGTTTACCGCTATCCATTACCATCAGAGGCCCTGTGTGGGAAAGTCCTTGAAGATGAAACATGTGATGCACACTGTCGTGAAAAGAGTGAACATCCTTCGGGTAAATGGACTCAACCACCGCCAGTTCACCTCGTTCTTAGAAAGTGTGGATGTTGAGTGTGGAGAAATGATCTATTATAATGAGGTGAGATGGCTGAGTCGAGGCAATGTGTTGAAAAGGTTATTTGCCCTACGGAACGAAATTAGCAGTTTCATGATAAAGCAAGGACAAGAAATTTCCTGGAATATCGGATAGCAAGTGGATTAGTGACTGAGCATTCCTGTCTGACATAATGGAGCGTATGAACTGCCTGAACCCAAGTTCGAAGTTCATTGGCAGCTCGGTGATGACCGAAAGTCATCACTGAGATGCATGACAGAGAGTGTTTGTGGTCAAGCTTCGTTTATGGGTGAATCAGCTGGAGAACAATAATCTGGTTCATTTTCCTACTGTAAAGTCTCTGGCACGCGTGAATCCAGAATCCTTGAAAACGTATGCTGCCATAATTTCTGACCTACGTGTAGACTTCGATAGCCGTTTCAAGGACTTTCAAGACCTCGAAGCTAAATCAAACTATTCGCAACGCTTTTCTCTGCTGACGTTGACACAGTTAAACCAAAACTTCAAATGGAGCTTGTGGACATGCAGTGTGGCATGATGCTGAAGAAAAAGTACCACTCTCTGAGTGTACGAGGGGTGTTCAATAAATAAGGTAACAAGGCCTGCTGCGAATAAGTTATTGCTTGTGTTGAGGAACTTTTTTGGTGACGGAGTACAATGATGGTGAGGCTTCCATTTCACGCAATATGTCACTGTGTAATACTGCGCATGCGTAAAATGCCAGTTATGATGGCGGCCCTCCTAAAAACATGGTCAAACGTTGAAGTGCGGAATGCTATTCGGTTTCTTCATGCAAGAGGCACCACACCTGCAGAAATCCATGACCAAGTTGTAGAGGTTTATGGAGAACATGCCATGTCTCGAAAACAAGTATGGGTGTGGTGTAAAGCTTTCGATTCTGGGAGAATGATTATCTTCCAGTTCTCGGTTGCTGTTCATCGATGACACTGTGAACAACTTTTCTCGATAATGGTCAACAAGTCACTCCTAAGACTTCGACTCTCAGATGAACGTCTGCAATCCATGATGTCGGTTGTCTTGGTCCAGAAAATCATGCCCAAAATTCATGCTCTCGTGGAGCTCCCTTACAAAACTTCCACCTGCATTCACCTGGCTGAACAACCAAGTGGATAGGGATGGATTTGGAACCAGGTGGACGTCCCACCTGATGGAAATTCACCTTGCCATCCGCGCACATGTTTTTCTAGACAGGGGGATTTTCTCTCCCGGGTGGATTTTCCCCCGGGTAGACATCGCTTCATCAGGTGGAAATTACGCCAAGGGGGACATCTACCTGTTCCAAATCCACATGGGAAGTGGACGTTTCGTAAGGAAGGCGAAGCGCTGCCAGGTCTCCCGTCAAGGAAGGGAATAGGATAGTGATCACTTACATGCACTCATACAACCTACTGTTTATAAGATTGTGATAAATTACTCATTCTGCGATTTTACACTTTGGCCTGCAGAGAGGTAGGACCTTATCGGTGTGCGGCCTGCACACTGGAAACGAGCTCGAGACCCTTGTTTTTACGAGGAAAAGCGATTTGACTTCGACTACTGGAGCCTTCAGATGGAACACTTTGTAAAGCAGTGCAGTAGTTCGATTCTCTCTTCAATTTTCTTTCAAGCCACTTCTTTCGCTTCGGTTGGAACTCGAACAGCAGCTCTTCGCTCACCTCTGTGGCAAGCCCTGGAAAGGTAGACCTAATGGACGCATACGTCTTATAGGAAGCCTTCTTGATAGCAATAGAAAGACGTACCTCTGGTGCCCACCATGGCATCGTCGTGATGCAGTTACGTGCACCTCCCCGATACGTTTTTCTCAGCACATTCTCGCCGGTGCAGCCGTAACACAAAACCGAAATGACACCATTCGAATTTCATGCCTAGGGTCTGGAGAGAGAGTTCGGAATACTTTTCACGGGTCACCTAACCAACTCATCACGGTTTCCTCATCGCCGAGGGCTTCCCACCTATCTTATTTTGCGACACATATGCTTTCTGTCTCTTTGAAGTTCAACAGTATCTGAAGCTAGCTGGCCACAATTTGATTATTGGTGCGCGGTTCGGTTTCACTTCCCACCCTCGTGGCCGTCACTAGTCCCCGCCATCCCTCCGTGCCTATCTCATATTCCATTAGCAATTGCTGGCAATCAGATACAATTCGGTCAGACCTGCTTTGTCAAATGTACTTGAGCATGTTCATATGCTGCAAGGAGTTGATCATGGTCGGGCCATTGCCAGCACGAATGTCTAGCGGTTTTCTGCCATTTCCATTCGGTGTAGCTTCTCCAAACCGGTAGATCATACCACTCCAGGTAGCTTCGTCTTTTCTGACTTGAGCTTTGAAATCCCTCATCAGTTAAAGGAGATTGCAGTTTAGGTTCCCTTATGGAACCCCATAAACCTCTTCGAGGAACGCATCGCAGTCCTATTCGCAGTTCGGTCCGCAGGTCTGCACTACAAGCAAAAATGGTTGAGTTTTTTTCCCTAAAGGGTGTTTCAACTGCAACTCGTATTTATCCTTTGCGGGTTACATATACAGTATAGCCTTTTTGATAGGTTATCCTTATAAAAAAGGTTAAGTAATAAACCGACATGGATTAATATGTATCCTTCATTGTATACATATAATCATAAAGGTGAGAGGCTTTCCTCTAACCGTATTGTGTGACATAAGTGTCAGACCCCAATTTCATCAGCCAGTCTTCGGAATGAACAAATTAGAGAATGATTTCAGGGACACTCATTTTCTTAGTAAGGTGCAGATGTTCCATGCGGTTAAAATTTATTTTTTATGTAAGGCCTCCTGTTTGGGAGGATAAGCTTTCTTTCGGTCTAAGATCCAGGAATCTGCCTCGAATAAAGGAATAAAAATGAGGAAGGGTCCGCTTTTATTAATACCCATAAGTGCAGAGCTGTTTGCTATAGTTGTCACCTATGGCAAACAGCCCGAACTAACATATGTCAGGAAACATTGTTGAAAA